CTAAGTGCAAAGCACTTATGCATATGGTAGCCTGAGCCAATACAATCTAGTTGTTGTTGTTATGTGTCTTTAATTCATTTGTAACTTATGACAACCCTAAGGTGACATTTTCATGGATTTTTCTGTATCTGAGAGTGTATGGCTCACCCTAAAGGAAATCGAGTAAGAGATAAGGCAGCGTATCAAACTACAGATTTGCAAACTACAGGATTCCTTTATATCTCTGTATCACCTTAAGCCAATTGATTTTGAACAGATTCAGAAAGAAGAAGAAAACAAAATGAACCAATTTTAAGCCCACAAACAAAAAGGCACTGTAAATTGGAACTACTGTTCATTCGTCTCCTGGCAAGCAATTACGTTCATCTTTCTTTAATATTGTTCTTTCCTTTTCCTTGGGGACAGGAGGCAATTTCCAGAAATTCCCTCCCAATTCAGTCTGCCTTTTCCAATGAAAGAACTGTGCAGTGTTGGTTTTTAACTGATTAAAAATGCATTGGTCTACAAACCACACATTTTCTCTTGATTCGTACTTTCCCACACAAAGGCAGGTGTCCAAACTTGGATGGCCGACAGAAGTTTGCAAAAAAGAAAACCCATTCAATTTCCAAACTATTGGAGAAAATGATTCCATCGTAACCATATTTCTTCCAGGAAAGCACAGTCTTTTTGTTTGGTCAGTTATATTGCCAGCAAAACCTTGACCTCTGCTAAATAGACAGGTGCTACAGATAACTTTACTGATTTTGTACAAAACCCTCGTCAGGGTTCGAAATAAAATCCTGCTGCAGGGTTTCTCCAAGGGAAGAAAGGAAAGCAGGAGTCTGAAGATTTGGAAACTGGATTCAGTGTTTGTTGTGTACCTTCAAGTCATTTCCAAGTGATGGCAACCCTAAGATGAACATATCATGGGGCTTTCTTGGCAAAATATTTCAGAGGAGGCTTGTTTTGCCTTCCTCTGAGTCTGAGAGAGTGTGACTTATCCAAGGACACCCAGTGGGTTTGCATGAATGAGTGGGCTCCAGAGTCATAGTCCAACATTTAAACTATGACACCATAGGGACCCTCTATATTGCATGTACCGAATACATATTGTGTGTATTGAATACAATACATCCACTTATTGAGTGTATGTTAATATTATTCTTATTCATTTACTTGGAGCCCATAAACACAGAACATAAAAATAAACATGATTATACCACCATATGACAAAACAGATTATTTTCAAAAGAAACCAGTAGATTAAATAAATAAATCCTTTCTTCTTTTCCACTGAATAATCCTAAATTTTGCTTTTCCAAAATGGAAGGGATCAGGGATCTCCCAAGAAATCTTCCCAATATTTATGCTGAAACCTGGGTGGTCTCAGGATACCAGAGGTATTATTTACAAAAGCAATTAATGGGTGCCCGATCTCGACAAATTTATCTGTCCTAGTTTCACCTCTAAGAACTTTACGCTTAGTTGTTAAGTTTGCATTTAATGCCCAATCCCACCGCCTCCTCCATCGTGCAAGAAGATTCATTTTCTCAACATGTTTCCATGCCTTAGCTATAGTCACTGTTGTTCATATGCACTTTCAAGCCCTTTCCAACTTATGGCGACTCTAAGGAAATCATGGAGTTTTCTTGCCAAGATTCAGAGGAAGTTTGCCTTTGCCTTCCTTTTAGGCTGAGAGTGTGTGATTTGCCCAAGGTCATCTAGAGGGTTTCTATGGATGAGCAGAGATTCGAACCCTGGTCTCCAGAGTCCTAATCCAGTGCTCCAACCACTACCCCAACTGGCTCACGATCACAATCATTCTGGCCGCTGATAATAAAACAGATACAAGACTTTTCTGTCGCAAGCGTTCACCAATGAACACAGTGAAAACATCAATACAGCGTACTGAATACAATACATCCGTGCCATTTTATTAACTTTTTCTCTCCCCACCATATATGACCGTCTTAACTAAAGACTGAAACAACATTCAGGCATCTGACTTAACATCTCCAATGGTTTTTCTCCTGTTTGGTTTGCAACATCTTGCCT